CACACACACAAAATGTTGTACTGGTTGAGCCATTTCATGCTATCTAGTTTGTACTCGATTTCTGTACCGATGTCACGCTAGCCCGTTGTTGCCATGCATTGGTACCAAGTGTTGCTCCCCAAATAGCGAAGCTATGGGGCTCTTACTTCAAATAACAATGAGCTGCCTGCGCGCTTTCGAGACAGGTGGCCGGTGCTGGTGCTGATGCTGCGAGCTGGCTGTGCACGTGGTGGAGGCAGGGTGCCTGGGTGCCGGTGCTGGTGTGGTGCTGTGAGCTGGCTGTGCACGTGGTGGCAGGGTGCCGGTGCTGGTGGTGGGCGCTGGCTGTGCGCGTGGTGGAGTCAGTGTGCCGGGCGCCGGTGCCAGGTGCCGGTGTTGGGCGCTGGCTGTGCGCGCTTTCAAGACAGGGTGCCCTGTGGCGCTGGTGCTGGGTGCTGTGCGCTGGCAGTGCGCGTGGTGCAATCAGGGGTGCCGGTGCTGGGTGCCGGTGCCGGGTGCTGGTGCCGGGTGCTGGTGCGGGCTGTGGTGCTGGTGCTGGGCGCTGTGGGCTGGCTGTGTGCGTGGTTGGCGGTGCCGGTGCTGGGTGCTGGCAGTGCGCGTGGTAGAGACAGCGGGCGCCGGTGCCGGTGCTGTGAGCTGGCAGCGCGCGTGGTGGAGACTGGGCGCCGGTGCCAATAACTGTTGTGCGCGTGGTGGAGACAGGGTGCTGGTGCCCGCTTCTGACAGTGAAGTGATAACACCCGCCGCTTCTGACAGTGAAGCGCCGCTTGCAGCAGTGAAAGTCGACCAAGCGCCGCTTCTGAGAATGAAGTGCCACACGCAACATCATACGGTGTTGTCGCTTGAGCGTTCTTTGTCTATTAGCGTTGTGGGGTATTTACACTTTTCAGGTTCTATTTTGGCCGACAGCTGTGTCAAGGGCTGTGCTGTTTGCGCGCATACTTTTGTACGTATAATGTTCTATGCGCAACGTCAGGCTCTCAACCGACCATTGTTTCAGCACGTTTCAGCATGCCTTGGCCTTGGGCGAGTGAAGTCTACGGGCTTTGTCGTTTGTGCGCAGAAGCTTTTACGCGCAAGATCATACGGCCTTATCGTTCTGCAGATCGTTGCTTCAAGCGTGCTACAAAGTCAATAGTGGCGCTGGATACTGCTTGGCCTTGGGCCAACGACACCTACGGGCTTTGCTGTTTGCACGCGTACTTTTGTGCGCACAAACTTATACGCGCAAAGATCATACGCTGTTATTCCCCAAATAGGGATAGCTATGGGGTTCTTACTGCAAATAAGAATGAGCTGGTGGCGTGCGCTTTCGAAAGGGTGTCGGTGCTGGTGCTGGTGTTGTGGTCCTGGGTGCTGGTGCTGTGAGCTGGCTGAGCGCGCGTTTAAGACGGGCGGCGGCGCTGGTCGGGCGCTGGCGCCGCTGCCGGTGTTGTCAGCTGGCAAAGCGCACCGGTGCTGGTGTCAGCTGATTGCGTGCGTTGTGGAGGTGCCGTAAGCTCGCTGTGCAGGCTGCGTACATTCTTGTTCCAGCCAGTCGCATGTCAACAGGTCGTGGGATTCTGCCTCGCTATATGGGTCTATGCTGGTGTAATTTGTCTTAGGTGCCCAGGATTCCTTCTCACAAAATTTCATGAATAGATGAAATACCAAGGTCTACCGATCACATTTGGCGGGAAGTTAATGAAGTCTGAACTTGGTCGGGAGATATATTGTAAATTGTTGTATGCTGTGAAAATCACGAACAAACCTACTGCGACCATCACTGCCCAAACTGGAAATGGGAGACCATTTAGAAAGGACAAGAGACAAAAAACAGGATCTCAGTCGTTGTCTACCCTTCCCCACCTCCTTCTGCTGTTCCAGGTGCACCAGCAACTGGCTGGGCCTAGCTTCAGCCTGGACACCCAGGCATCTTCCACAGAGCCATATCTCGAAGTTCTTGACCAAGGGGGGAGGTGCAAGGTGTGATTTGCAATGGCAAATTGATGAAGGTTGGAAGGGAGTTTGGGAAGAAAAACGTGCGGACCTCGTTTTCTTGATGTTCTGTTTTGTCTTCCAACCTTTTTAGGGTGCCCGCCTTCGATAGAGATCAAATTAAACTTTAAAAACATGGCAACAAGAACCCCACAAGCCCTCAACGCGTGCAGCCTGATACAGACGGTCTTGGAGACGATCCGGTGGCTTGGAACGCCTGATCATCCAATATATGAAGATACACTTTTGGTGTACTAAGGTGTCCTGCAGTGTATCACCCTCGCCACACCCCGCTCCCTGCGGCGGCTTCCCGCCTTTGCGGCCGCTGCTGCGGGCGTGCCAGGAGGGCCTCTGGGCCAATGGAGCAAACAGGGCGCACCTTCTCTCGGGAGACGAAGATGGGTGAAGCCACTGGATGAATGCGAGGGAAGCGGCAGAAGCTGCCTTCTTTTCTCTTTCTTTTTGTCCCCTGAAACACTCATGGAAGTGGAAATTCTAGACATAAATAGGCCCCTAGGAAGACCATATTGTCCTCTACAATTGAGGGGTGATTCTCCACTTTCATGTTTTGGTGAGGGTGAGAGTTATATAAGCGAAGTCACAGGTGGAACATGAAGTTGAAACCGGCGACCAAAAAAAAAGAACCGAGATCGCCCGGTGGTGAAATGAAAGATGTTGGTCATCAATGGCACAGCTTTGGTTCTAAACGGGGGCTCGGAAACCCAACCGTGCCACCTTCGGTGCTGGGTGTCACCGGACCCTGCTGTTCAAAGGAGACTCGAATCCAATTCTCCTCCCATGCCACACCACTGGATTTAACAGGTGCACAAATTGAAAGACGATACGATGGCCGTGGCTGCCCGAACAGTGTCGGTGGCGGCAAAAGGACGGTAGGAAGGCTGTTGCAGCCCAAGAAGATGCTTCTCGTTTGAGTCAAAACTAAGACTGCCAAAATGCAATGACTTGCAGTTGCTCTACAACAGCATCAGTACCGGTTTGTCAATCAAAGCATGGCATGCTGTTTGGATTGTTGGGACGTGTTTAAAACATCTTAAGTTAAAACCTTGAATTGGATCATGTTAATGGAAACCCATCCAAACAGAGTAGCATCTTCTTGGATGCGCGTGACTTTCTTCTCAAAAGTGCCTACTAGGCGGGCAAAGGTGCGGTCTGATGAACCTTTCGTCGCACAGATGCCAAATTTGAAAACACCATCATCGTTGGTTGAAGGGTCGGTTCATCAACGATGAAAGCCGTAAAGCTTATCGACGCTGCATCGAACGTTCATCAACGCTGCATCGAAGCCGTAATTGCGCACCATCAGTCTGCTGAGACAGGTCTAACATCTCAACAGACTGACGTGTCTCTTCAACCCAGTGCACTCACGACTACGGTAGATGGACCTACACGCATACTCCGACACAAGGTCGTCAGCTCACAATATCATGCAGGACCAAGGAGGATCTGCTGCGCGATATGCTCTGTCTGAAGCATGCTGACAATTATCAAACAGCAGGTTGTAAGATCCGGAGGAATTTTCATAACTGTGAGAGACACGCTCTTCAGCATTTTTGGCAGCAGCCTTTTCACGAATCACCTTACCGTTGCCTCTCACAGCTTCCACACGTTCATAGTCTCCCCGGCCATTTTTGTGGTGCTCCACACGCCAGCCGTCAGGGCCGTCTGTTTCCACGTACCTGGGGCACTTCAGTGATGATTCAATCCAGCGCGACGTGTGCAACCCATTTTGGCAAACAAGATAACATCCAGCCCAAACATGAAAAGGTCTCAGAAGTCCAAGTTTTGGAAGCTCAGGTACTGGTGAGAGAAATTGCTTCCTGTGACATGGCTTCCATTTCCAGATTGCTTCTCCTGCACCATGCCATTGTTGGGGATGCGAATCTCGCCCATGCTGGAACTTTTCGTGACGTGGCTGCACTGTTTGGGCCGTTGGACTGCAAGTGGTGAATTGACGCCTTTCATATTCAGTTACTTCCCACAATAGGGGTACAAAAAAGACACGGTGTTCCTACTTCCAACTACAACAAATCATTTTGAGGTCGATTTTGGGTACCTGATTTTGGGGGGAAATACCTATGTCAAAGGATGTCAAAGTCACACATTTTGTAAGCCACACCAAATCAAAAGAATGTGCAACCTTCGCACCAATGTGCCACCTTCGCACCAAGGCGAAGTGTTGTTTTCATGATCTCTGATAAAAAGATTGCCCCCCCCAAACTCCGGATGATGAAAGTTTTCCAGAAGCAGTCAAATCTCCAGATGGCATCCTTGTAAAAAGGTGGAACACTTCTTCACTGCAATAATTTCGTCAAAGAACAACAAAACTCCCAAGCAGAAAGAGAGGACATTAAAAAACAATTACGCATTCGCTGTTTTGCTGCATCCGGCAGCAACCATAACGCACATCAGCCCAAGGACTTTGACCGTAAATGCTACCAGTTGCACCTGTGGAAAAGAGCTCAATGCTCGAACGTCGAAATGAAGTAGTGTGCAATGGCAATGAACAGCTATCTCCCCAGTAATCACAAACCAGACTGGTTTATACAACAGATTCGATCCCAGCCAAAGGATCGATCTCTTCAAAGAAACCCGCAACGAGCGGATCGATGGATCTCGAAACCCGCAACGATCGGCTGTTCCGAATGGTGACTATCCAACTCCATCGGTCACCTCACTCCATGCATTACAACGACTCCACGCATGACCGGACCTGGACGGACAAAAAGAGGGCACAGACTTCTTGACAATTTGGACCTTTTGGATACTCACATTGAGTGGAGCCTTCGATAAAGAGTACGTGGATGTTGCCCGAGTGAAGAATGGAGTTCAGGATTCTGTGTGAAACAAAGCTTGACCCACGACCAAAAACATCGAGCCGTTGTGATGAATTTGAAGATTGAGATTTACAAGATTGAGTATAAACGCGGTTGGTCGCGGAATTCTATTCTGCTTAAGAACCTGGCTTGTCAGGTATATATAAACACGACCTCAGCTTGTTTTTCCCACGCGTTGCAGAAAGTTTGTCTCAATTAGAAACCATTCATGCCTACTGGAACCTCTCGGGGCCCCGACTCTCAGTCCCCTTGCCAAACCGACAGGAACTGAGAGCCCCCCTGTACCTCCTAGGGCTGCATCCGCCAAACCCGATGCCCCCCTAGGCTCAGGTACTTTTTGAGAGGGAAACCAAGCCCTGACTCACTCCAGTCTTTAAAGGGTGGTTTCATGGATTTCTCAACTCCGAGAAATTCTTCCGCGCGCCTGCAAAAAAATCGAGAAAAAGCGAAACCTTTCGACTTGCCCTTCCTTGCTCCACGTCCCCCTGATCTGGGGCGCCCTTGAGGCGCCCCAGGCTCAAGCAGTGGGCTCTTGCGGTGCAAGTCCACGTACGGGAGTAAAAATGAATTCGACGGAGATAGATCTGCCAACTGAGCGAGTCCATCGTTCAGATACACTCGAGCAGTACGTGCTGCGGCCCACCGGCCTTGCGCCAGCAGTTTATCGAACGAACCGTGGTGCCCAAACCAGAACGTCGTGCCCCCTCGACGCAGACTGTAAGGTCTGAAGTGAAGGTCGTCCAGACGCAGTGCTGTTATGGCTTTTGTAAAGAGTGCTCTCCAAGCGTGTGGTTTCAAAGTTAAAAAATTTGAGGGGCCAACGGATTGCTTCCATTTCCAGAGAGATGGGAGGACAGAGCGTTCGTGCAGTGTGACGCTTTCGGCTGCGTTATGTCGGGCTCCTCCCTTAGTCAGCCCCAGTGACAGAACCGCAGGTCCTGTGGGCCCAGAAATGAAAATGTCTTTTGCCCGGAGGCTCAGTAGTTCTCCCGTTCGAAGAAGGCCATAAAAAGCAATTCGTAAAGACAGACCGAACTCGGGGCAACCATGAAACACTGACCAACCACAAAGGGCATCTAAGACTTGCGCCGTCATAGCGGGTGCCCTGTTAGGAATCTCTACAGTACTCCAAGCTTTTAGCAATCTCCAGCTGCCAGGCAGTTTCTTCTTAAGTGACGGGTCTCGATCTTGTAAGGCTGCCAGGGTGTTATTGGCAATGGATTTTCCTTCGCCAGAGGCCCAGAGATGTTCCAAGTAGTCACTAACTAGGGAATCAAGGCGAACTTGTTGCTTTGGGAGAACGAGGCCCTCCCCTGCCATCCAATCAAAAAATCGGTTGAGACATTCTGTGTAGCGTTGTCCAGTACGAGGTTGTGCTGTGAGACCTTTGAGAGAACCAAGCTTGCTTCGAACTTTCTTGCGCTCCTGTTGGCTTTTTCCTTCCATCACTTTCGTGGTTTTCTTACCCATTTCTTTCGGAGTGGACGGCGCGATGGCCGGTCTGCGGGGTTTTGGTGGGTATCCACGTAACCCCATACACCCACCAGTCCACCTGCCAACTGAAGCGCTCCGATCCGACACAATGTTCTCCGCAACCGCCTGCTTGAAGATCTCCCTCGCGACAACGCATGCAGCACAACCAAAGAATCAATCAAATGCAAGAAATGGCACAGAGATCTTCTCTCGGTTGGTCCTTAGCCTTTCTCGGTCGAGATACCGTCGGACAGCCGCCACACAAGTGCCGCTTTGACAGCACGCAACTCAAGGGCATTGATGTGTTCGACGTCTCCGGTCCACCGCCACCCTGCAACATCCTTCCATCGCCATAACTTACTAGGGATGGAGGCTCGCAGCCTATGGTAGCGCGCTGGCAAGTCACTCCCCAATTGCAACAAGATGTCCTCACCTTTGACCGAGACCTGTCCTAACAACTTTGTTTGCTCCTCCCCTGCCTTCATTGTCTGCCTCAGAGGTGGTCTCAACAACAAGCTGGATAGGTAGCGCTCTCTCCCAGGCGTCAAACGTCCAACCAAGTGTTCCAGGGTCAACTGTGGCAGCATGCCTAAGGTTCTAAAGAGTGAGTACAGCAAGTAAGCAACAACTGGAATCGACCAGCTGTTCCCCAGGAGTGAGAGACGGCAGTCGTTATGCTGTGCGCTGCCCTCCAAGCTCTTAACCTTGACGGTTGATTTCTCCACTCGATATTGGTATGGTGGGAACCTATGAAGATCAGACTTCCACCGGGCCACCGCGTCTGCAGGACAGAGGGCCAACCCGGCGGGCCTACGCCCAGGCACGGCTGACAGACGAGAGGTAGTGAAGGTCGGGAAAGGCTTGTCGGCCCTCACTCGCTTCCAACCTGACTCGAGGAAGTCCTGCTCTTCAAGCTCAAGCAACTCAACCTTGCCTTTGATTGGGAGAGTCCCCTCTCTCCCCTCCAAGACCTTTGCACCTTCCAGGTTCAATGGTTCCCAGCTGCACCAGTACAACCGCGGTCTTCGGGCTAAGCTGATTCCTCCTGTGTCAATGCTCCATGGTGCTGTCTCGTAGGCCAACGACATAGCCTGGCAGTCTTGAGCATCCATCGATGCCACGTTCTCAACCAAACGGTGAACGGGGCACCACTTGAAGTGCTGCTTCAGCAAGGCCTCGACTTTAGGGATGCGCTGAAATAAACTGGATCGCTCATCTCTCAACGCCTTCCTGTCGCAGTTTAAGCCTGACACTCCTTGACACGGAGGCCCTGCTCCAAGCAAGACCAGACCAGCCCTACGTTGGCAAATCTCATCTGCCACTCCAGCACGCGCTCCTCAGTGACATCCGCAACATCTCTAACGCAGACCACATCTGGAAAGAACTCAACCACGCGGTTCGCTTCAGGCGAGATCTCAACCGAGATGTAGCCACCCACAGGCACACGCAGCGAGTCAAGAGCCACCCTGAGCGCACCTATTCCGTCAAACAAGGACACAACAAGCGCCTGGTCCATCTCTTCGGGTTCAACTGCGTCTCCTCTGCATTCGGCTTGACACGCTGCTACCCCAAACGGGCTAAGCTCCCTCGTCACCTGTAGTGGAGGCGTCACTCGCCGTCACCAACTCTGAGGTCATCAGGCGGAAATCCATGTAGGCCAACGGACACAGAGTCACGAAGCGAATCAGCTCAAGCGCCACCTCAACTGGCAACGGCTTCCTGACCAAGGGCCCCAGAGCACTCAATTCGTTGACCTGGCGCCACACCGCATTCAGACCTGACAACAAGGGCCTCCAGAACATGGCGATGTAGACGAAACCTCCTCGGATCACCTGTAGCCATGCCATGTGGTCGATTGCCGATGGAGCGGTTTCGGAATTCATCCCTTGCGCTCCTGGCTGCCTCTACCTGCTCAGCTGGTTCTGCTATTCGAACTTGTTCTGCATTCACCAACTCCAGCTGGCGTGATACCGAATAATGGCCACCGCGTAGAGTTGCCTCAAGGGACTTTGCTCTCTGGACGAGCACATCGAGAGCAGCCGCCACCTTCCGGCGCAACAACAAGTCCGTGACCTGCGCAACCGTCAGCAATTCCTGCCATAGCATGGGAGTGGCTAAGGACTGTAATTTAAGTGTTGGTGCGCGTACATGCTGAAAAGCGGACTCAGCTGGTCGCGAGACACGCTGTGCAGCTCCCCTCGTGACGACAAGAGATGTTCCCGCACATTGTCGATGGCCTGGGCCGTCAATGCTCCTGGGCATTTCTCGCTGAGCCTCCGCACCCGACGCGTTTCATCGAAGAGGGGTCCATCCTCCTCCGACCCCCTCTCTGCTTCGCTGGTGGACGATGAAGATGACCCTGATTCCGTTGAGTCTGACCTCTTCCTCTTCTTGTCTTTCTTCTTGCTTGCCCTCCGGGCCTTCTTCATGAGTCGCTTCCGCCGGGGCACGTTTGGGTCCAAGCATGTATTGCTGAACGGAGCCCGAGCTGTCTTTTGGCCACGCTCAAGCTCCTCGGCCTCCTCTTTTTTGGCGAGCATCTCATCGTACTCCTTCTCCGCCGCTCTCTCCTTTTTCTTCTTTTTCTTTTCTTTCTTGCCTGAACCACCTCCCGGCGACTTGCTCCTCTCCTTCTCTTTCTCTGGCTTGGGAAGCTTTTCTTCTCCCCTCCCTTTTCCTCTTTCAATGGCCAGTTCACGAAGTCCAGCCAGCTCATCCACCTCGCCGTCCTCGGGCCCTTGGCTGTAAGTAGATTTGTATGCCATGGTTTGGGTGCAACTGTTGTATCCCACCCAGTAGCCTCTGGCGTGGAAGTAGGTGTCAGCTGTCGTCAACCACCACACCCACCGGCACAAGCGTGCACCTTCACAGTCCGTGAACTGCTCCCTCCAAACCGTTCAAGGATTCGGTCTGTGAGGGTTCCACTCAACTCGAACTCCACCTCCTCTTCGGATGGCTTCAAGCTTCGGATCCTTCCAGCAATCTTGGCATAGGCGCCATAGTATGAAGTCTCTCCCAACTCCACGATGTCAAGCTCCTTCATTCTGTCCAAGGTCAATGAGGCCAAAGGGTGATACTCTTCTTTAGCGGGTTTCCTTTCTTCCGTCTCCTCCTCAAGTGCTGCTTGAGCTGGCCTCCTCACGCGACCGACTCGAGCCGGCATAGCCGCAGGTCTTCGCATCTTGGGAGCCATCACTCCCTTTACCACCTGCCTGGGTAGTTCCTTCGCTCGTAGAGCTCCTGCTTGGCGCGCTTGGTCACTCCTTTGTTGGTCCCCTCGCTCCACCGGTGGTTTGAGTAGGGAACCGGGCCTCGCCACCCACTGCCTGGAAGCTTGTCTCGACCTGCTGCTGGCGGGATCAAAGACGCTCGAGGTGGTGGATGATCAGGTGTACGGGGTGATCTGGGCGCACGTTGACTCGGTCGTGGACGAAGAAAAGGTTCTCTTTCAATGACACTACTGGCTTTTGCTGTGCCTTCTGCTTCTCTGCCCTCTCCTGTCCCGGGAGAATGGTCCTCCCGTTTCTTACGGCGAGTTCTCGACCCGCTCACTGACCGTGATTTGCTGTCACGCTTCTTCCTTTTGTCCTTCTCTCTCTGCCTCTGCGGTGTCCTGCTCCTTGGCTTTCTCTGGTCTTCCTCGCCACTCTTCCGAGGTAATGCCTTGCCTCCTTCACTCCTCTCTGATTCGACGGGCTTTCTCTTCTCCTCCTTCTCGCTGACTTTCTTCTTTTCTGGCTACTCTCTAGGCCTCTCGCTCCTCTTCTCTTGAATCCTCCGCCCTGATGGGGATACTCCTGCCTCCTCAACAGTGGCTCCTCGGCTCGGTCTCGCTTCTCCTCGGCTTCTCTCAACAACCTCCTCCTTTGCACCGGCTGGTAGCCTGGGAGACGCCTCTCCCTTCTTCTTCTCTGCTGTAGGGCTTCCGCTGGGAGCTGATGCTCCCTTCTCTGGGCTTTCGTCCTCTGGCAAAAGCCTGCCGATGGAGTAAGAAGGCTCCGTCCAAGATCTTGGTGACCTTAAACTGAGCCTCTTGAGTCGGAGGAAGCCTTGGTCCCGTCGCGGCCGCTACCAGCCTGTTCGCCGAGACGCAAACCGAACAGCTGCCTGCCAGAAGGGACCACTTCTGGCAGGCAGAGCAAATGACCATCTGCTTCGAGCCCAAGGCTACGTGGGAAGCAATACTGATTCGTGTTTAGTTATGGGGGCATTTAACCATAGATAATCTACAGCGTGCATCTGGAGTCTCGAGCTACCTAGAATCATTCGGTTCTTTGGGTTTTGCAGGCTTTGTGACCTGGCGCTTTCTGACTCACGCATCAGCCTCACCGTCGTTCAGGCTATTGAACTTTGTTGAACTTTGCACGCCAAACAATGTGACAATGTCGTCAGTGAAAGATCTTAGCAACTCACAGCCGCCCAAGAACTGTTGAACACCCTTCTTCCTTTTGCGGTTGAAAGTGCACTGCTTTTAGTTGGTCGGCATTCTTCACTCTACTGCTCCATACTTCTTCAGCACCTCGGCCACCGCAGTGTTAGATTCCTGAAGCGCCACCTCAAGCGCGGTGCGCCCAAAAATATCCCGAGCGCTCACGTTGGCCCCGTGCTGCAGCAGCTCCTCCGCCACCGCGGCGCACGGGCGCCCACCTGCGCCCAACACGCGCGGTACGGCCACCGCCTTCAGCGCGGTACCGCCTTCTGCCCTCGCTTCGGTGGGCGCACCGCAGCGCAGCAGCTGCTGCACGGCGGCGGCGTCGCAGTGCTCGGCGGCCAGGTGCAGGGGGGTGACCATTGCATCCTGGAGCGCTCGGCGGTGCAGTGCCAGGCCCCAGGCCCAAGAGCTTGAGGGGCGGCCGGGGTCGGCTTTCTGCTCCAAGAGCCACTTCACGAAGGGAACATCCTGGCTCTCGATGGCTTTGAGAAGATTCTTGTTGAGCTTGTCCTCCTCCTTCCGTGCCTCAAAAAGGATATTCTTGGCATTTTTTGAAAAAGGAACAGACTCTCACCTCACCTAGTCATTCGGAGTACAAAACGCAGGAATTGGGTGGAGGACTCATATTCTTAGCAGCAAACTCAGTGGTTTCTTTTGTGGAGGACTCATGTCAGTTGCTCCAACTCCTTTTAACATCTCTCTGTCTCTCTCTCTCTCTCTCTCTTTTTCTTTATTTCTTTCTAAATGGACGCAATCCCCGAGTCTTAAAAGAGCAACCAGCCTGCCGCAGCATCTGTAGATGTGTGGCCAACTCGGGGCCCAGCTCGCACTTCCCCTCTTCGCAGTCAATGCATTGCCACGATGGCTTGGAGCGGGCGGCGAATTCTCTGGAGGTCCAATACCATTCAGTTTTGGCACGGAAGAATGGCCTCACCCTGGCGAAAAGCCTCTCTCGAAGGATGGAACTGGTCTTGTTGCACGTCGCCTTCAAATCAATGCGAGAATCACTTGGGGTGACCACAAACCAGGCCCCCAGGCTGCGGCGCCCAGCGTGGGCACTTCATGTTGAAACAGCACAGACTTGCTCAAGGATCTGGGGCCCTCCAAGTCTTTGTTGACGAGAGCAATCACCGTTCCTTGCTTTTTCCTCTTCATTCCAAGGACAAAGGAATAGCTGGCAAACGACCAAAAATTTCCTGTCAGTTTCCAAGCCAATTCGCCCTTGCACTGGTCGAGCTCATTGAACTGTTCAATCATCCGACCCAATTTGGTGCTAGGATGTATGGTGTTTGTCTCAGTGAGACGGGAAAAACGTTGCAACGTCTCTTTAGAAGCTCGGTGCAAATGTCCATGTTCGGCATCCGGATCGGTCCAGAATCCGGCCCACAGAACTGGTTCGTTCTTGGCCGTGGGTAGCTTGGCCAGCTTCACCAGCCACTGTTCCAAGAACCGGAGACTTTGCAGCAAGGGCAGTTTTTCATGCTGTGGCACCTGGCTCGTTTCCACCTTCAATAAGTCTTGGCCGTGCAAGAAGAGGTCCTTCACGGACTCGTTGCAGTTCTTGGGCGGCAAAAGAATAGAGCCACCACCCAAGAAATTCGACCTGGGCTTGGCCTTCAGGCATTCAAGAGGCCAAGTAAGACACCATGAGTCCGGCTATGACTCAAGCACCTTGTGGTGCTGAATCGTTTTCAAAATTTCCAAAGCACACTTGTTTGGCAAAACAAACCGACCCCCACCAACCCCACGCCTTCTTGCAAGCCTTCAACAAGCTTTTCATCAGGCCTCCTAATTGCTGCTGGCAGTGCTCCTGGGCCTGACAAGCCGCTGCTGACTATGATCCATCCCTCATGTGTCGGACCCGGGTGGCAATCCCAGATTGCAAGGTGGACAGGCGGGCCACTACCCCGTGCGGATCGGGCGTGGACCGTTCAAAAAAACACCCAAACGGTCCGTTTCCCTGCCTTGGCGTCGCCCTTCATGGCTGACTCCAAGAAGGTCACGGCTCTTCGGTCAGGTTCTTTGAAGATTGGAACCTTCTCCTGGCAACATGGCTAAGCCCAGCGGCAGCGTGCGAGAACAGCTCCAAACTGCGAACGTGGGACGTGCTGGAAATGGACGGTGCTACTGCAGCCAGCGGTCCTTCTTGTGGTGTGCTTTCTGCGGGTCCTGAAAGGGCTAGAATCGAACGCAGAAAGGCCACGAACATGCGCTCATGAAGACACCAAATGAGTCCCTACGTGGGAGGCTTGCACTTCTGATCATTTTGAGGCATGCAACAGTTGCAAGACCCGAGCTAGCAAGCCGCTTTCTGCCTCCTTCCCCTGGTCCTTCTCCTTCTTCGATCTGAACAGTTTGCGCACCTTTGACAAATAATAGGACCACTTCTTATTAGCTTCAGGGGCCTGCAAAGCATTGACTGGGGCAATTTTGTCTTGGATTTCACTTCCAATGCAAGGACTCGCATGAACCCAGGATTGAAACAAAAACGCGCGTTGATCATGAACTGCAACCAGCCTCCTTCTTGTGGCCTGCTTTTTGCTGGTCCTTCATTGACAAGCACAGAATAATTGAGAATCAAAAACCATCAAAGAACATAATATACACACTCATTTCAATGGAACCGCTTTCAAAGCAAGCAATCTTTTGTTCTTTACTTCTTCGTCAGATCTAGGTTTAAGAACCGCAAGGGCATTTTCCGTGGCAACGGATTAATGAAGCCGACTCCAAATATGTTCCTACGTGGGAGACCTGCGCTTCACTTTGAGGCATCGCATACGCACGATGTGTGATATGACGCTGGAGCTATCCCACTGGACATGAAAAAAGGATTGGCACCAATCAATGTTTTACTTCAAGGTGGATTGGCACATATATCCAGCTGGTTTTCAGGCAACACCCAGTGCCAGGCCTTGTCCAAAAACTTCACCAACTCTTCTTGAATGGTCGATCCATTCACGTCGTCGCCCAGCGACCAGGACGCCTGAAATCCAGGGGCGACGTACTCTTCACTGCCTCCAAGCGGATGTTTCCCGATCTGAAACCAGGCCGGTTCCGCAGGATCTTACACTGAACTCACCTCACCGGGCCGGAGCTGCCTCAGTCTGCTCAGTCTGCAAGTCCTGCGGATCAAGTGCAGCATGACATATGGCACCAAGAGGGATCTTTGCAATGCCAAACATGCGCAAAAGACACGTTTGGAAGGACACTTCCCATGTTCGACGAAGACTTTAGGGCAAAGCACCATCAAGGGTTTGTCTTCCACCTTCTACATGCAGCCTTTGCTTGGAAACAAGGAACGTGTTTCTTCTGTTCCTTGACTTCTTGAGCTCACCGACACCGACACCAGCGATCTGGGACCAGGTCTTTTGGCTTACCGCTTCTCCTCCGGCGCACGACCGCTTCTCCTCCAGCCGCGGGGGGCGGACCACCTGGTCCAAAGAATCGTGTGACTCCTCCGGCGAGTTGCGTTCGGTTCAGTCTCAGCTTTAGCTCGTTCCCCAAACGATCATGATCGTTTGAGCTTCTAACGGGATTCGAACGGTTTTCCTCCAGAGAAGAAGGGCCTGCCGCCACGAGATCCAGCTTTTGCCCCAACTTGGATTAGGCATCGATGCGCCCACACTTGTGACATGAATCAGATGTTTTCTCAAATGGTCTCAACCAACGTAAAGACACAACAACAGCACAAGCACAAGATTCAGCCTGAACCAATGCCCGAAACACAAAGCTGCAGGGTTTCAATTAGATGGGAGATGATGGGAGATTCCTGATGGTAGCTGGCGTAGGCTGTCTTCCATCTACTGTCGTCACTGCAACAACGAATCTGTCCATGTGCCTCTGAGGTTTGCTGCAGGCGCGCAGCCGCGGAGATCGTTGCAAAGAGGAAGGCGGCAAACTTCATGGCGATTGGAATTTGGCAAACAGCGCATGCGCATCTTGTCATTTCGTCATTCGAAACTTCATGGCTGCGAACGCAAGCATCCAGCATGCCGTATTCGGCACTCATGCACACCTCCATGTAATCCTATGCCAGTATTCAGAACTCCAGGCCTTTCTGAGCCGTTGTGGAGCCGTTGTTCCTGGCGTTTTGACCAACACGTCACGTGGAGCCGAAGCCGGCACAGCTGGGTCTTTGGGGTTGAGGAAGTGAACAAATCTTTACCTGTGACCTGCTTGACTTGACGATCCTTAAGTTGAAACAGGTTGGAGGTCATCCAAACACATGGGTGAAGACTCACAGCTTTTTGCACTCCACACTTTTGGTCCTGGCTGCATTTCTCATGCACACACACACATCCCTGTTTTTTGATTTATCGCGTGTGATTTAAGATGTTTTTGACTTGAGCCGACTCGCGATACAACAATGGGATGAGAGGATCTAAGTGGAAGATGTAGAGTGGTAAGAGATAATTCTTGGGACGGTTGGGAAGATCTTGGATCTCTAGTGGTGAAAACACTTGACAGCACCCTAATTATACTAATGGACAGAACCTTGCCCCACCCAACAATGGTGCTGTTGACTGTCAAGGCTGTATGGTCATTGTGGGTCAAAACGATACAGTATGGCCGACGCTGCTTTTTTTACTTCTGGCTGCTTTTACAAAATTAAGATGTCAAAACCACATCCCCAGAATTGATTGCTCAATCTTATGTCTTAATCTTATGTCTTTAGATGTCAAACCACATCCCCAATTGGTTGCGGCATTAAGACATATATATATATATTATTTGATGCTCACATCGACCGGAGCCAGACATTAGGGGAGAGAACCTGTCGGTGAGTGGAGGAACGGTGGCCCCACCGAAAGCCGCTGAGCGGTTGAGTGGTGAAGCGGACCGAGTGGTAGAAACACCCCTGGCGTCAAGAACCTGGCGAAGTCAGTGCATAGAAAAACCTACAGAAACATCTGAAGTCTCTACTCCCGACGGAAAAAATTGTATCACGATGGCCTAGATCTGGATGTGCCATTTTTCGCACGTCAGTGCCTGGCCTTTAGGCGAAGCTCATTGAAACACCTCTTCGTAGTCAAGCCGTTGAAACTGTTTGACCCTGCCAGCATTTGCGTCATGTGAAAATGTCGTGAGTGAAAACACTTAGCAACTCATCACAGCTGCCGGCAGTTGAGCACCTTTTATGTTTTTCCGTTCTTTGTCCATACGAACACCACTCTTGAAGGTACACGTCTTGACGAACCCATCGAATTCATGGGCTTTACCCTGCGAGATGCTTCTTCAGCACTTCGGCCACCGCGGCGTTGGGCCTCGCGGGATCCAGCGCCGTGCGGCCCAGCCAAGCCCGCGCCTTGGCCTTCGCGCCGTGCAGCAGCAGCTGCTGGGCGATGTCGGCGCCCTCCGGGCGGTCGCAGTACCAGCGCGCGTTCGCCACCTTCATCAGCGGCGTGAAGCCTCCAGGACCCGCCTTCGCGTCGGTGGGGGCACCGCAGCGCAGGAGCTGCCGGACAGTGTCCGCCAAGCAGGCACCTGCGGCCAAGTGCAAGGGAGTCATGCCGTCCTTGCGAAAGGCCCGGGAAGGGTCGGCGTTCAGCTCCAAGAGCTGCCGAACAGAGTTGGCGGGCTCACCACCATGCTCAGCGTGCGCTAAATTGAAGCGTGTCACGAGTTCCAGGAGCTGTTGGTTGAGCTTGTCTTCCTGATGCCGGGCCTCAAAGGGAGATCTTTTCTGCTCAACAGCTGATAGGTAGCATCGACCCCAAACGGTTTCAAAACGATTCGTTGGGACCAATATTCGTCAAAAACGATTTCTTGGTACATCCTACCTTCTCCCCCAAGAGCAAATAGCTTAATTAATGATTTTGGTCATCATCGACATCGCTAATTGTTCGGCCTGGTCGGCCCCGGGATGGAAACATGTTTACAAAACCACGTGGTGAACATTCTTAGCAGCTAAATGTGAACACATAGCATGTCAATGCATAGTCGTGGAGGGCTTTCGCCATGTCATGCAGTGCTTTGGAAACAAATGCATCGCAAGTCTTCGAAGAGCAACGGGCCTGTCGCAGTACTTGTAGATGTGTGGCCAACTCGGGGCCCAGCTCGCACTTCCCCTCCTCGCAGTCGAGGCATTGCCACGATGGCTTGGAGCGCAAGGCGTATTCTGCAGAGGTGAAATATTGCTCTTGGGCTTTGACACGGAAGTATGGGCTGAGCCGAGCGAAGAGCCGCTCCCGAAGCATGGAACTGGTCTTGTTGCACGTCGCCTTCAAATCAATGAGAATCACTTGGGGCGACCAAAAACCGAGCCCCCAGGCCGCAACACCCAGCGTGGGCACTTCATGCTGAAACAAGACAGAGTTGTTCAATGGTCTGGGGCCCTTCAAGTCTTTGTTGACGAGAGCAATGACAGTGCCTTGCTTTTTGATCTTCATGCCACGGACGAAGGAATAGCTGGCAAACGACCAAAAGTTCCCTGTCAGCTTCCAAGCCAATTCGCCCTTGCATTGGTCGAGCTCATTGTGCCCTGCGATGATCCGCCCCAATTTCGTGCTGGGATGTACGGTCTCGGTCTCAGTGAGATGGGCAAACCGTTGCAAAGTCTCTTTAGAAGCTCGGTGCAAATGTCCATCTTCAGCCTCCGGATCAGTCCAGAATCCGGCCCACAGAATGGCTTCCTTCTCGGCCGTGGCCAGCTTCACCAACCAGTCTTGCAAGAACCAAAGACTTTGCGCCAGGGGCAGAGTTTCTGGCGGTACCCCTGCATGCCGCACCAGCGTGTCCGGCACCTGGCTCGTGTCCACCAAGTCCTGGCCATGCAAAAAGAGATCCTTCACGGACTCGCTGCACGTCTTGGGCGGCAACGGCTCGAAGAATCGTCGGTGTTCATAGGGTCTTTCCTCGGCGGAGACTCAAACGTCGACAGCGGGGAGATGATGCTTCAGTCAACAGCTGATGCTTCATGTCAGTTGATTACTTCATGGTTTCCTCCCAGAAACGAAGCCAATTAAGACACCGTGATGAACCAGGTTGATTCATGAGTCGATTCCAAAATGTCGTCCAAGTATGTAGCCAATGGGCCAATACACTTGACCTTTTGGAAAACGAAACGGAACCCCACCTGCTCGCAAGCCTTCTGCAATTCTCTCATCAGCCCTCCCAATTGCTGCTGGCAGGGCTCCTGGGCTGGCTGACATTGCGCCAAAGTTCCGATGGCTTTCCTTTAGAATTCTCTCGAGAACAGTGGACGCTCTTCCCTGCCTTGGTTTCACTCTTCATGGCTGACTCCAAGAAGGCCACGCTTTTCATGTCGGGCTTTTCGAAAATTGGAAACTTCTCCTGGCTCTAACAACTCCAGCGGCAACATGCGACAAACTATCCATGCTGCAAAAGAAACTCATCGCGCTGCTGCAACCAGCCTCCTTCCTGTGGCTTGTTTCTGGCCGGTCCTTTATCGACAAGACACATGAAGAATCAACGACATTCAAAGCACATGCGCTCATGCAAAGGAACCGGTGTTCAAACCAACTTTGTCTTGTTCAGATCGTTTTCCTCAGTTCCAAGTTTAAGAACCTGCACTTCAGGGCATTTTCCATGACAAAGGGTTCATGAAGATGGGATAACTACAAATATGTTTCTATGTGGGAGGCCTGTGCTTCTTCTAATCACTCTGTGGCATCGTGCAGCAATTGCAAGCCCTATAGAGTCTGTAGTTGTATTGTGTCTATTTTTGTCTTTATGTTTTTGATTGACAGGCAAAGGTTCACAGTTCAGATTCACCATCCACAATCTGGTGCGATCCAGCTCTCTTCTGTTGAGTTATTCCTCTCATTTGTTCTCATGTTTGGTCTGCTTCCTGCCACCTTCTCCGATCTGCACCATCTGGCGGCTGGACATTTGGCAACATGGGCGACTTTGTCGGGAGGGGTTTCTCTGCGCAAGGCCAAGACATATTCAACATACATATGTATATAATGTATACACATCATTACACAACATATACATATCATAATATACACACAACATATACATATCATAATATACATATACATTAAATACACGGAGGACTAGAACAACTGGTTTTAGGCAACACCCGGCGGCCTTGTCCAGAAACTTCACCAACTCTTCTTGAATGGACTCGCCATTCACATCGTCCCCCAGCGACCAGGGCACCTGAAAGCCAGAGCTACACTCTGAGACACTTCCGGAGCATTTACCGCACTGGCGTGCTTCTCAACTGGGGGGGGGGGAGCAATCTGACGTCCTGCCTTGGTTGCCTGGCGAAACGTCGAACTCAAACAAACAAGTGGAGACGAGCTGGAGATTCTTCACACACGACGAGTCAAACAGTTGGACCCCTCAAAGAGTTGCTGTCTTCTCTGTCTAGCAAGCTTCTTCTTGAGAAATCCCTCTGTTCAGAACATGTGCATCGCACGTGTAAACCGCAACAGCTGCCTCCTTCAGCTGGTCCTCCTCGGATCTGAACCATCCGCGCATCTTTGAGAACAAGGATCTCTTCTCCGTCTTCTTGCAGCCGTTAGCCTCACGCTTGGCCGGCGGTGACGGTTTCGGTCGCACCAAGGGAGGATCATGGAAGTCCCAATCGACGGTCCCTCAGACGTCTTTGAACGATTTGGGCGCCGCCCACCATGGCCATGAGCTGTACATCTACGGTTCAAACCGTTCTTTCCCGTTTCAAACACGGCAGGATACGATCTTATACTCTGAACTCTATACCGGGCCTGCCTCAATCTGCAAGTCCTGCAACCGGCGCTTGGATCGAATCGCATGCAGCCATCGTTTTGCAGATTTTTCAATGAAGTGACACAAAAAACCTGCGGACTTTCTTGGCTTTTTGTGCTCGCCTTCCAGCATCCGTCCCCGTCCCACGGCACAGCTCTCTCCTCGAACGAGGATGGAGTGACTGCGTCGTCCGCATGGGGCGACCAATTGAGAGAACTGGACTCCTGCGAAGGCGACCCGTTCGAGGTCTCAAATGATCGTTTGGGTGTTTCCTTTAGACCTACCGCCTGCAACACTGCAACACTCGCTAGGAGATCCAGCTTTTTTTGCCCAAGTAAACCTGGATTCGACATCGACGTGCAAACAGTTGCTTTTCATGAAAGAATCTGTCTCAACAATTGTGCAGTTTAGCAAACACAAGCCGAAGCCTAAGCACAATATCAAATTCAGCCCGAACACCAATATCTAGAGATTTATGATATATTTCTGGTGGTAGCAGTCTTCCATCGCTGTCACTGCATATACGACTCCATCCATGTGCCTCTGAGGTTTGCTGCAGGCGCACAGCCCCGGAAAGCGTTGTGGCAATGAGGAAAGCGGTAAACTTCATGGCGTTGGGATTTGGCAAACTGCGCGTCTTGTCATCTTGCCACTCAAAGCTTCATGGCTGCGAACGCGAGCAATTCGTGTCATGTCAACAGCGTGGCACTTTAAAATCAAATGCATCCAGTTGCAATTCCATGCGTTCTCCAAGCACTCTCTTCAATCCAACGCCTTTGCTTCGCCGACAGCCCAAGCCTGGTGTGACCAACAGCCGCATTCCTCCCGTGCGGCGCTGTGGATCTCGACCTGCGACCGGGACGAGGTCCACGACAGATGGTGAGTTTCACACACCTATTTGGCACTCCACACTGATCTGACACTCCAGAACCTGGCAGATGTTCGATTTTTTGGCAGACACACAGATAGTGATGTCTGCAGATGTCTTTCATCTATAGAACTTGTCTGTCTTCAGTCCCTTTCTCTTTGCTTTTGTTAAAATTTTGTGTCTTGTCCCGATGAACCTCCTGTTCTGCATCTTGTACAAGCGCTGGTCAGAGGTATACCTGGCGGCGCAAAAAGATCCGAACTCCGTTGAGCTCTTGACATGTTTCCGTTGACCTTGCATCTGGAGTCCATGTGACAATGTCGGGAGTGCCAAGATCTTAAAGAACTCACAGCCCGCCGGCAGCTCTTGAAACACGCTGTTCCATCCCGTTCCCCTTGAGCCTTTGACACCGCGAAGCTCATTTTTCAAGCACATCACTTCTGGCCGAACACCTCGGACTTCGACCGTCTCGGCACTTCCGCCACTGCCACGGCCTTCTTCAGCACCTCGGCCACGGCGCGGTTCGACTGCAGCGCCACGTCGAGCGCCGTGCGGCCCTCCCAATCCCTGGCGCTGGCATTCGCGCCGCCCAGCAACAGCTGCTGGGCGATCACCGGTCCATCCGCGTTGTGGCACGACGCCAGCTCCATCAGCGGCACGTTCTCATCGTCCGTCGTCTTCGCTTCAGTGGGGGCGCCGTGGTGCAGCAGCGCACGCGCATTGTCGACTTGACATCCCCGGGTGGCCAAATGCAAGGGCGTCACGCCGTCCGCGTCGTAGGCAGCGGCGGGGTCGGCGTTGAGCCGCAAGAGCCGCTCGACGGATGCGACGGGCTTATGCCACTGAACGGCTTCCAGCAGCTGCTGGTTGAACCGGTCCTTGCGCCGCTGCACCTGACGGGGCTCACCAGCTGAGAAGAACACAAAGAGGCACATGATGGATCGAAGGAAGAACGAAGAAGCTGAGAACATGAATGTGAACATGGATCGAACAACATGATCCTAGCCTTCAAAGACCATTTTACCTCTGACCGATTTGCAAAGCATGCGACACATCGTGCACAGCGTAATTCAAAGACCATTTTTAAATTCTTAAATGGTTCACCTGACCTGGTTTTGTAAAATCCTACTTATAGTAAAACAATGGTTGTTGTTCGGTCAAGACCATTAAAACAATGGTGCTTTGAATCCTAGGGATTAGCTTCTGCTCCTTTGCGGAAGGCTTTCGTCATGTGTCACCAGTACCAGTGCTTATAAATGGACGCCGTCCCGGACGAATGCATAGAGCAACTGGCCTGTCGCAGTACTTGTAGATGTAGGGCCAACTCGGGGCCCAGCTCGCACTTCCCCTCCTCGCAGTCGAGGCATTGCCACGATGGCTTGGAGCGCAAGGCGTATTCTGCAGAGGTGAAATATTGCTCTTGGGCTTTGACACGGAAGTATGAGCTGAGCCGGGCGAAAAGCCTCTCCCGAAGCATAGAACTGGTCTTGTTGCACGTCGCCTTCAAATCAATGAGAATCACTTGGGGCGACCAAAAACCGAGCCCCCAGGCTGCGATGCCGAGTGTGGGCACTTCATGTTGAAACAGCACAGACTTGCTCAAGGATCTGGGGCCCTCCAAGTCTTTGTTCACGAGAGCAATCACCGTTCCTTGCTTTTTCCTCTTCATTCCAAGCACGAAAGAATAGCTGGCAAACGACCAAAAATTTCCTGTGAGCTTCCAAGCCAGCTCGCCCTTGCACTGGTCGAGCTCATTGAACTCTTCAATCATCCGGCCCAGTTTCGTGCTGGGATGTACAGTCTCCGTCTCAGTGAGATGGGCAAACCGTTGCAAAGTCTCTTTGGAAGCTCGGTGCAAATGTCCATCTTCAGCATCTGGATCGGTCCAGAATCCGGCCCACAAGATGGCTTCCTTCTTGGCCGTGGCCAGCTTCACCAGCCACTTTTGTAAGAATTCGAGACTTTTTACCAAGGGCAGGGTTTCCGGTGGTACTCCGTTCATCCACATGAGCCTATGTGGGATTTGGCTCGTTTCCACCAAGTCCTGGCCATTCAAAAAGAGGTCCTTCACGGAATCTGTGCAGGTCTGTCGACGGCGCAGGTCTTCTTCTCCTTGCCACGCCTTCCCAGAATGCCATGCTTCGTCTAGAGTCTAGACCCACATGTCTAACAAAGGAGGCCATATCAGACACCATGGCGGTTCAGGTTGTTTATTGAATCAACATCGTCTATAGGTCTTATCCAATGCACGTGTTGCAATACAAGGCGAAACGGAACCCCGCCTGCTCGCAAGCCTTCTGCAATTCTTTCATCAGCCCTCCTAATTGCTGCTGGCAGGGCTCCTGGGCTGGCTGACATGGCGCCGCTGAAGGTCTTGAAAAGATCTATCCAAAGTCTGCTCTTCAGATTGCATCCTTTTCCCATTCTCCCAGGAACTGCAGAACCCAGGACGCAAGTCCGTTTCCGGTGCCTTGGCGTCGCCCTTCATGGCTGACTCCAAGAAGGTCACGGCTCTTCGGTCAGGTTCTTTGATTTTTGGGAACACCTCCTGGCAACATGGCCAACCCCAGCGACGGCGTTTTTCAGTGAAGCAGGGATTCATGACAATGACTCCCAACAAGTTACCAAGTGAGTGTCCTTTCATGAGGAGTCATTTCCGTTCTGCTTCCTGTCACCCTGTCGCTGTCCTTCTTTGATCTGAACAATCCACGCATCTTTGACAAAAGGGACTTCTTCTTTTTTCTGCCGAGTTGGGCCTTAGGCACATTGGATGGCGTGTTGGATGGGGTGACTTAGTCTTGGGTGTCACAGGCCAAGGCCAGGGAACCTGCCCCGACAACGAAGGCCCCAGTTCGGTGACATGAACATGTGAGGGCTCAAGACTGGAATCAAGAGAGGAAGGGCTGCAAAACCCACACAAAGGTTGTCCCCCCGCTTGCATTTCCCAAAGGAATGAAAGAAAAGCCGAACGGCTCCCTATGATTCCAAGATTATACACACACACACACTTCACTGGTGTGAGTTTGCTATGATAGGCTTACAAAACGGGATTGAATTCCACAGTCCTACTGCAATCGGCCTCCTTGTTGGTCCTTCAGTGGCAAGAAATCAAGCAAACTCTTCCGTTCTTCCCTCATTTTTTCTCAATCGTAGCACGGTTTTCCGATCTTCATTATCAGGGCTTCTTTCATGACGAGGATTTGTAAAGAAGACTCCAAATAGCTTTCTATGTGGGAGACCTGCACTTCTTCTAATCACTTTGAGGCGTTGGGCTGCAGCTGCAGACTCCGTCACAATCTGTATCATGGCGCTTGAGCTATCCCAATTGGAACCAAGCAATTCTTTTATTTCAAGTTCAAGGTGGCTTGGGACACCTCCTGCTGGTTTTCAGGCAACACTCTCGCGGCCTTGTCCAGAAACTTCACCAACTCTTCTTGAATGGTCGATCCATTCACGTCGTCGGCCAGCGACCAAGGCACCTCAAATCCAGGGGCTACTCCTCGTTTCTGACTGTTTCTGGGGTGTGTCGAAAGGGGGGGACTGTGTCTGGGGCAATCAGGTGTTGCTCTTCCTTGGCCTCAAGAAAACTGCTGACCACCGCCCAGCGACCCTGAAATTCAGATTGTGGCACCGCCTTCCATGATTTCCATTGGCCACGGTTTGCCATCTAGACACACAAACGCTCTTTCCCGATTCAGAAGGTGCAGGATGTTGTAGATCTCTCTTGAAACGAGACGGAACTTGGATCTTACGCTGAACTCTACACCGGGCCTGCCTCAATGTGCTGGAAGTCCTGCAACCGGCGTTTCGATCTGAGAATCATGTGCAGTGAATGATCTATCCCGAAAAGCAAAGCAAAAGCTGGAGGACTTTCAAAGCCAAGGTGGGTCGCCTCCCTCCAACTGCGACTTGAAGCAAAGAACTCAGGTGTTTCGATTTTCTTCTTACGCTTCTTATAAGACCGCTCTCAGCGACTTCAAGGGATCTGTTTTAAACCAACCACCCTCCCAAACCGCCCGCCGATCGCGACGTGCCCTCTCTCCTCCATGAACGACAAAGGGACCGGGTCGTCAGGATGGGGCGACCAACTCAGAGGAGGTGAAGACTCCTACAAAGGCAGCGAGTTGTGGTCTTTCTGTTGATGTCCGGACGTTCCAGATCTATCTCCATCGACACCGTGGTGTCTCAGGACAAAACACTTTGACCAGACCAATGGGGTGACCAAAGGGGTTTCCCAATTTGATGGTTGATTTCGGATAGTAGCTGGTGCAGCCTGTCTTCCATCTACTGTCGTCACTGCGTATAAACGAATCCATCCATGCGCCCATGCGCCTCTGAGGTCAGCTGCAGGCGCACAGCCGCGGAGATCGTTGTAACGAGGAAGGCGGCGCACTTCATGGCGATTGGAATTGGGCAAACAGCGCATCTTGCGACTTGTGCGTCACTCGAAGCTTCGTGGCTGCGACCGCGAGCATCCAGCATGCTATGTCTTTCATGGCACTTTAAGATCCCATGCAATTCAATGCGTTCTCTCCATCATTCCTCTTCATGCAAATCTCCCAGGCCTTTGAGAGCCTTTGTGAAGCCGAAGCCTGGCGTTTTGACACGTCACGTCCCAGTGCGGCACAGCTGGGAATCTTCCGAGAGGAAGTGAACACGAGGTCGACATGCAACCCACGTTTTCACAGTTGAGATTCTGCAGATCCCCATGTGCACCGAACAACTGCTGACACCTTCGGAATGCTTTGGCACTCCAAGTCCTGATGGAAACAGGTCGAAACCATTTCTTTCTGACACAGTCCTTTCTCGCAGCGCGGCAGCACATTCCTACCTGACACCTGCGATCACGGATGGTTTGCGACCCACGGTACATCCCTGGTCAACAATTGAATGCCTTTTGGCACTCTACAGCATAGGGAGACATCGAATTCATCATGCAGCACCTCAAAAAGAGACACAAAAAAACATCTGAATGCACCCAACCGTTGGAGCGTTTTTCGGGCGAGTGGTCCAAGAGACTGTGATGGTACAGGACAGGAGCTGCGGAAGCGCAGTATTGGAGGGGTCAGTCGGGAGCCAAAAGACAGCCGGCAAAGCAAAGCAAGTTCGTTTTGGGTGCGTGACATGTTTGTAGTATTGTAGTAGTCACTGTACAGTTTGATGGATTTGCCGAGCAGTATATAGAATGTCTCAGGGGTCTCCTGCAACAACATACACACTCACACACACACAAAATGTTGTACTGGTTGAGCCATTTCATGCTATCTAGTTTGTACTCGATTTCTGTACCGATGTCACGCTAGCCCGTTGTTGCCATGCATTGGTACCAAGTGTTGCTCCCCAAATAGCGAAGCTATGGGGCTCTTACTTCAAATAACAATGAGCTGCCTGCGCGCTTTCGAGACAGGTGGCCGGTGCTGGTGCTGATGCTGCGAGCTGGCTGTGCACGTGGTGGAGGCAGGGTGCCTGGGTGCCGGTGCTGGTGTGGTGCTGTGAGCTGGCTGTGCACGTGGTGGCAGGGTGCCGGTGCTGGTGGTGGGCGCTGGCTGTGCGCGTGGTGGAGTCAGTGTGCCGGGCGCCGGTGCCAGGTGCCGGTGTTGGGCGCTGGCTGTGCGCGCTTTCAAGACAGGGTGCCCTGTGGCGCTGGTGCTGGGTGCTGTGCGCTGGCAGTGCGCGTGGTGCAATCAGGGGTGCCGGTGCTGGGTGCCGGTGCCGGGTGCTGGTGCCGGGTGCTGGTGCGGGCTGTGGTGCTGGTGCTGGGCGCTGTGGGCTGGCTGTGTGCGTGGTTGGCGGTGCCGGTGCTGGGTGCTGGCAGTGCGCGTGGTAGAGACAGCGGGCGCCGGTGCCGGTGCTGTGAGCTGGCAGCGCGCGTGGTGGAGACTGGGCGCCGGTGCCAATAACTGTTGTGCGCGTGGTGGAGACAGGGTGCTGGTGCCCGCTTCTGACAGTGAAGTGATAACACCCGCCGCTTCTGACAGTGAAGCGCCGCTTGCAGCAGTGAAAGTCGACCAAGCGCCGCTTCTGAGAATGAAGTGCCACACGCAACATCATACGGTGTTGTCGCTTGAGCGTTCTTTGTCTATTAGCGTTGTGGGGTATTTACACTTTTCAGGTTCTATTTTGGCCGACAGCTGTGTCAAGGGCTGTGCTGTTTGCGCGCATACTTTTGTACGTATAATGTTCTATGCGCAACGTCAGGCTCTCAACCGACCATTGTTTCAGC